CTTATTATATAAAAATATATAAAAATTAATTAAATAATAAATTCTTGTTTCTTTAAGAAATATCAAGAGTTAAATAATAAATAAAAAATTTATTAAAGTTAAATTTATTTAGATTGTTTAATATTTTCACATCCGTTTTCAAAACAATAGCCAGCCTCATGTGATAAATTTTCAGAAAACTTGTTGGTCCCCAATGTATTAAATATAAATTACGTGATATCTCATTCATTTTCTTTTTACTAAATGGACAATATATACATATACCAATTTGAAAATAAACGGTCCATATTATGTCAGTTTCTAAACAGAGAAATGAGATTAGATCTAAGAGATATTTAGGTAGATGAGTTTGGAATCGTTTGACCATTACCTTCTGCAGAGAGCTAAAGCAGCACCAACGACGACGACAATGACCAGTCCGACACCGAGACCGGTGAGAGCCCAACCCATCCTTCTTAATGCCAAATCTAGGCCCAACCACAAATCCAATCAGACCGCCGGAGCCTGAAACACACGGAGTAAATCCATGGAGAGCATGATCCGATTACTGTTACAGAACCGAGATTATTCGTGGATTAAGAGACCTCGTAGAAATCCACCTTTATCGATGCTATCCTCCCTTCCCACACCCCATACGGACCCATGTTTTATTTATTTCTAATCCGAAAATATTTCGACGTGTGCTTTATAGAAGAAAAAATTACATTTTTCATCGTTTCGTAAAATTCTATCTAAACAAAATATAATACAATGAAAGTTAACACTAAATTAATGATATAATTTATATTAATAAATTAATGTGGTATAACAAAATATAATATAATGAAATATATTCATCTTTTGTCATTTTTTAACGTAGAAGGAAACTTTTTGTTTATTTATTTATTTCTTTTTTTTGTTGTTGTTTCATAGAATATTAGAGAAAATAAATAAGTATATATATATATATATTGTGTGTTTTATTTTTCGAAAAATATAGCCGAAAAAAAAGTGTCATTCTCGTTAATACACGTAACATCAATTTTAATTACTTTACGGTAAACTTTGAAAACAGCGGAAAGGACGAGTAAAGTAGAATGGGGTAAAAAGGGATGGAAGGGTTGTTGGAAGGGTTTGAGGATGTCGATAGAAGTTAACGAGGCAGTGGATAAAACGATAAAATCTTCCTTTAAAGTTGTACGAGAAGAGTGCCGTCGTTCTTTGAGGTTCGAACATCAGCAACGTTGAAAAAAGAATTTTACTCTCTCTCTCTTTCTACGATCTATGAATCTACAGATATTTCTCAGCATGATTAAAAGAGGAATAAGAAAAAGTAATCGTTTTGGTTAAATCATTACGATGTATTGATTAAACTTTTGTAATTAGACTTTTTTTAATTGCTTATATTTAACATTTCTTTGTATTTAATGAACAACCATAGATTAACATTATTTTATATAAATATTTAATTCACAAAACAATTATTTTAATCACAAACTTTTATTATTTAAAATTCCATCTAACAAATTAAGTACCAACTACACGTTTTAATGGCATGTTCTTCTCATATAGATACT